TGAAGTTTATTGCGTTATCCATGCGATTTCGAAATTTTCGCAGAATAAGACCTCTACTTGACAAAGTAGTAAGCGACTGACTCTAAAATAAAATTAAGCTCCCAATATAAATCAACTAATTTCCAATAAATACGTCCGACATTTAAGAAATGGCTGCGTTTCTAACTGTCTCGACTAATAATTTGTCTTAAGAGTGACGTTTCTGCAACGGTAACACAGTTATTCCAAATGACGAATAGCTATTTTACATTAATCAACGATATTTCTGGAGCTTAGTTTTTCATTTTTATTTTATTTTATATGGCCAGTCTCCACGTCTACTGCGGATCCCAGCACTTCCCAAATTCGATTCGTTTCGTCGTCCCCATTGTCCACGAAGATCTTCCGCCTTTGATGTGTGTCTTCGGTTGCTGCTTGAGAATTTTCATTTCATCTTGAATGTTGTAGAATGCAGGTCGAACAATCTTCCTAGAGTCCTGAGATAGCCGGGATGTACCGTTTCCAACTTGGACAGCAGAGAGTGAATTTTTTCCCAGACAAGTTCAGTACCAATTTCTCGACGTTTGGAGGTATGAGAGACATAGTTGGCCCGGAGCGGAGTCGAACTAGCACCATTTTCGTAGTGATGGACATAACTACCACTGTGCTGTCCGCCCAGTGTTCTGGAGCTTATTACTTTAAAAAAAGATAATAGTAACTTTCCTAATATAACTCTGCTGTGTGTACAGTAATTTTGTCAACACAATCAAATCTTCTTTTCGTGACACCCGCTTGATGCTGAATGAACTTTTGTCTGGTTTTCTCTTAAATTACTTTAGATATTTGGTAGGTTATTAATGAAAAATAATTTGTAGGCTTCGCAAGAGCAATGACAGAAAATGCATCGACGACAGCTTTACGTCGCGACAATTTCCCTCCTCAGTGGGAGATGCTCTATCCTCAGTAACAGTTCAGCTGGTTTAAGGAATGACAAAGCGTTCAGAGGATCAATCTCTTAGACGTGTGCCATGCACTTAATTTTACTGATCATAGTAAAGACGACTGAATGCTGAGTTGGTCTATAAAATAATTTGTAGAGGTGTACCAATGTATTAAGTCATTGATATTATTCTCCCAGAGAAGTATGGTACCACACTTCTGACCCTAAAAGCGATGGAAAGCTTGTTGCTAAGGCTGGAGATAGGACCATTGCCCATATTGTATGACACCTCTAACAAGCGCACTACAGAAGCCATTTCGCCTACTAGGACCTGAAGAACTTCATTTTTTCATTTTATACCGTTTGCAGTACTTCCGATTTCTATAGCAAAACAGGCACAACCTGTACTCCCAGTATCAGCAATTAGATGATATCATTCTCTATTGCTCTTAAAATGCTGAAAGTATTTTCCACTGTAATGACAGCTGTCATCGTCGGGCCATAAACCAATCGGATTAATTTTAGAGCAGAGCTCGCAAAGTCGTTTTGTTACTGCATCCAACACTGTCGAAAGTTTTATTTTGAAAAATAGTCACATTGTAATAACCTGCAGTTGCGTTGTTTACCTGAGTACGACCACACAGCCTGTTAAGAAATTCGTCTCGGAAAAAAGTAGCAACAAATCCCAGGATCGACTTTCTATTAACCCCGTCATTGGCATTGGCACTGGAGCAACAAATTTTGCCGCTATCTTAGCATAAACTTAGCCACAAAGTAGTAAGTCTTCCGATCCGCAAACCATCGACTGACTCAAGTAGGTGACTTGGAAACGTTTTCGATGAGCTTTCTGGAGTTCAGCAAAAAAAAATACTTGCCTAACCCACGAAATACCAAATTGAAATTTTGTTATGCCTTGACATTTCATGAACACAAACTCAACTTTGCGATTGTATTCGTGGCAAATATCCATAAAAATCGACTCCTCTTTGGATTTCATCCCCACTACAACAGTCTGTTTTTCGTAATTCGTCCTTTTAACTTTACGGCTGGACTTTTTTCTGAGCAATCACCCAACCAGAAAACCGCAGTACCCCTTATCCCTCGATTTCATAACACTACAACACCAGTATTTTTCCAACCGACCATCATTTAACCTCGGCACTAGCAATCGATACTTTGTTGGATTCTTAAGCTAGCACGAAGTTGATAAAGATGTTTATTCGGTCAAGGGTTCGGCGCGTTCGTCTTCCTCAGAACCAATGATCCGAGTCGATGGCCGGCATCACACAACGTCATGTTCATGAACATTGAATAGTCCCAGTGATTACCTCCATCAAAAATTTCGTATTCCGCCAAGGAATCCTTTCAAATTTTAAGGCCTATAAATTTATTCGCTAATGTGTTTTTATTTTCAAGCACTTCTTCATCGATTTCACATAAACGGAATAAGAAAAACGTGCCGATATTTCATTCCTTAGATTGCCATTTAATAGCCTCTTCTGTTTCACAACGTGAGCATTGAACTAATTGTCTTTTACTCGATTTAGACTACCATAATTGCAAACCTTCTATGCAGTAAACAACGTTGTATGCGGTGATGATTCACTGATGATACAAGGTTGGATTTAGCTACCTCTGTCAGAAGTAACCCATAAAGTCACAAATAGAAAGGCCATGGTTCCAAAAGTAGCCCATGAGGTCAGAAATAGAAAGACCAGGGCTTTTCTCCACTAACTGTAACCAGGCAAAGGAGAGGGGCTTTAAGAAATGACCTTTTTTTGGGACAACAACAAAAACACAAATACGCTTGGAATTATGATTCAACATTGTATTGTGTTTTTACACTTTCTTCAACTAATCAAAAGCTTCCTCGATGATACTTTTGTCATTTCGGAGCTATCCATTCACACGAAAGTTTCTCGCTGAACTTGAAATCGCAGGAAATTTTTACTTAAAATGCTACTTTTTTACACAATATTCCTGATAAGCAAACACGAGCTGTTACTGTACTTTTTACTGATGGAGAAGTTGACGCCTCGGCGGATTTCGCCTTCTTCAGAACCTGGAAAGGTCAAGTTGATTGCAACCTAACCAACCGAACACCTCCATAACTGAAGGGGGAAGGTACTACACCAAGATTTCAATCGCTCTAAAAACACAAAGTCTTCTTCTTAGCGGTTTTAATCCTAGTCTTCCAGTTTCCTGGACTTCTTAACTGGTGATTTTACTTTTTGATGCGATATAATTCCCATTAGAAAAATGCTTTCAATCGACGTTTGGCTTTCGGATTTGTTTTCTCGATTATGGTGGTAATTCGTGACTGGCTCCGACGACTCGGTGACAATTCGGACAGCACTTCCTGCTTTTTCTGGTCGATTCTTCTCGATCGCTTCGGCTCTTGTATTAGCCCGGACGTCCCGTTGGTGGTGGGTTTGGTTATTTAGAACGCGGTGTGGGCAGAAATGTAAATACTTCGTTGTGCCTCAACTCGGCCGATCAATAGTTTTGTTTAAAGCAGCGGGCGTTGAATAAAATTACCCCCATTCAACTGGAAGCCCAGACACATTTGCATTGTTCATTTCTTACATTTCAAGACAGCACTACAGCTAGAAACAACGATTTCATCCGGGAATCTGGGAATTCCAGCGCGGATGAGGTGATGTTCTGCTGCGTGCGGCTCTCATCAGCTGATATGGTGCTGAAGTAGATCATCATCTGTTGTGTTCAGAAAACACCTATAGGAACAACTCAACGAAAACTTATTATTGTACTCGGAAACCTATAAACAAAGCAATATGTTGCAGTGGTTTTCTTCGAAAATTATTGCTTAAGGTCTCGAGTCCTCGGCCTAATTGGGAACATAACTGCCACTAGGCTAAGAAGCTGTTTGTAAAGTATGTCGTGGTAGAGCTGATACTACTAGAAATCTCGGTGATCAATTTTTGGAGAATTAGTTGAAGTGTCTCTCAGCTCGGAGTTGACAACATTAGGCCAAACTATTGTAGCGTATCGTTTTGTGAACTAGGATACCGTAGTTCTTTCGCTAAGAACTAAACAGCAAACAGCGTCAAATCCCGGCTGCACCGTCCCCCTTTTGAAAGTCATGATTCTTTCGTAAAAAGTGCACCGAGGCATCAATAAAACCATGTACGATGTGCTTCGGAAAGGTCATTTAAAAATGATCTCCTGAAATCACTGAAATTCTTAGAGTTCCGGAAAGAATGAATGTGTCAGAAACAGAATACAGATAAGAAAATCTCTCTCACCCAGTTTTAAAAACACTGAATTTTCGAAAAGAAAAAATTTGGGGAATTTAGCAAAACATTCCCTATTGAACTTACGCAGACCTGCTCAGGCGCATAAGTGTGAGTCATCTCTGACTCGTACTTTTAGCAGTGTGTTGAAATCACTATCGTTTTCCTTATATGTCCAGTTTAATCATGCTTTTATGCTAATGTCTAATGACTAAGAGAATATCCTCACAAAGTTCGCTGAAGTATTTCACAAGGAGACTGTTCACAGTTGGCCACCGAGTCGGATCATCGGCTCTTATGAAGACGAAAACGTCGAAACGTTAGCCGAATAAACCTTTTCATCAGCCTCGTGTAGGTTCAACAATTTAAATACTGTTGACAGTATATCTACATGTTTCAATATTTTGCCAACTCTTTTACCATCATCAGAGTTTTCAAAGAGGCATTCGACTGCAGTTAAGGAATGTTTCTGAACGATCTTGGAACAAAATATCCCTCTTCTGGCGACATCGCTATTCACAGCAGCTCCGTCCCCCTTCCTATTTTCAGCAATATTCCAAGAGTTTCAGGAAGCTTGATTTTTTGTGTCAACGACGTTTCCAAATACAGTACTGGTTTCGTTTAGAGTTATTTTTTGTCGACTCAAACATCCAACTTGAAGTATAGAGGACCATAAAGACAGATGGGGACAAGTGCCTTTTGTATGAGATAAATCTCAACGGGATGCCGATTGTAACGTTTTCGAATTTTTCAAATCACTAAACTAATCGCTTTAAAACCGGAATTCTCTGCTGCTCGCGTTCGATGGTGCTTTCGTGCGCATTCTAATGCTGGTTATACCAGCGTCTTCGATATGTGTGGTGCGTCATTCAATCGATCTTTCGATACTAATTCGACCTTTTTGGTGTGATGAGACGGAGGGAGAGGGACACGGAGACGGAGAAGAAGAAGAGGAGGAGCAAGAGGAGAAGGAGAAGAAGAAGGAGGAGGAGATTATGGGCTTTGTAAATACAAATGGCCAGACGATGGTCGGTGTAGCGGGGCTAGGTCGTCGTGTACTATGTCATATATTTATGTGTGTGTGTGTGTGTTCTCCCTCTCTCCCTCTCTCACTCCCTCTTTCGACAACCTTAACCTCCTCAAATGCTTTGTTTATTGTCCGCAGATTTTCCTCTCTTTTATCGATCGAGCTTTTTACGAAATATTGCACACTTTTGTGTAGAGCGACGACGGAATTTGTTAATGAATGAGAGCATGCGGTTCGACTGGCTGCGACGATGACGACGACGATGTTTGAGCTTTGCACTCATATCATCCACATCTACACATCAATATCCGCCAATTTTTTAACGGACCATTCTAGTGTGATAACTTTGGACTCACCTATCATCCACATCTACACGTTCATATCCACCAACTTTTCGACGAGCCATTATGCACGGATGGACCATTCTGGTGTGATGACTCGGTCGTGCCCTATGAATTTTGCCAATGCCAAAACTGGAGATGATAGTTTATACTAGTAGGCATCATATAATGGAGGCGATGAAGTAAACGAGCAGAGTGATGGTGACAGCTGTGCATGTAATCAACCATTAACCTTATAGTTTAGAAGGAGAAAAAAAACCTAGGGGGTAATTGCTAGGTTTAGGGTCTACATGTGCCTGTGTGTCTTTTTGTGAAAGATCGTGCTTCCTTTAATCTATCTCCTTCTTGAATTTTCTTATTTTGTTTTCACTTATATTCTTCTTTTTTCAAGTCTTTCTCATCATTCGGTTTGCTCCTTCTGTCTTTGTTCTCCTCTCATTCTCTTTTATCTTTATCATCTTTTTCCTACTAAACCGTCCTACTGAGCCAATATTGTGTTGACGTCGTGCTTATTATTATTATTATTATTATTATTATTATTATTATTATTGATTATTTGTTACTACAGGTGATATTTATATTTATTTTTTACTTTTTATTTATTAATATTCATATTTATTTACTATTTATTGTTACTACAGGCGGTTATTATTAATTTTTGGTACTATGAATTATTACTACTATTAACTCAAAAGGCTGACTTTCTATAAACCACGCCATAAATAATCGATATATTTCCTTATGAACTGGCCTTGTTGGGCCGATGCGAGGCATTATTACCATTATTATTATTTGTTACTAATACATGGCCCGTCCGTCATCGCATCTACTGTCCGGAGCCCAGCACTTTTTGCATTCGATTCGTTTTTCCTCGGATTCGTCGTCCATAAAGGTCTTCGAACATTTCGCATTTCGCGTGTTGTTTTGGCTGCTGCTTAAGCGTTTTCCATTCTTTTTGGCCGTTCCGCAAAGAGCCGTCTTCGAAATTACAATTTTTAAGGACGTCGTCTTTAAACTTCAATAGACCGACTTTCACTTGACCTGAGCGCGAATAATCGATAATTTCTTTTCACTGTTCAGCTTATACGAAGTTGTTATTTCTAACGATCTCTTAGAGATCTTAGCACAAGCTTTAAATCTTATAGGCAGTCGAGCATGAGATATGGAATGATTGCGATTCTGTTATGGTCAGCAGCTTCGTACTACACCAATAGAGCACATGAAATGAGTCTGAAAATAGCATCGGAGCTTTCGCTTCATTTCTTCGGAGTTCCAGCTTTTCGGTCTTTCCGCCCATAGTTTGCATGGGTGTTTTTCATGGACGGCGTGAGCTGTTTCAAAGCACGTCATCACTAGTGGGGGGCGTGGTTGAACTCAGACGATCTCTCTCCACCTCGCGTCCACGCATTGATCACTCAGAAGCCCCCTACCCTCACTTTCCTTAGTTAGCGAGTGCTCTCTAATCGCCCAATTCATGAATGAAGCACACTCACTTTGTCTCACTCACTCGTTTTCTTCTTTAGCGTTGTTCGTTAAGTTGTATGGTCTTCTTCTCAGTCATATCGAATGAGACATTATCACGTTTATGGCAATTTGAACCATCCACGGTTCACCTGTTACTTGTTTTTATACTTTTTTCCTTCATTGAACATGAAATAGAGTTTGAATGAATCTAAACGAAGACTTGCAAAACTCGTCAATGTGTTAAAAATACCAATTTGCAATAAATAAATCCACCAAAACCAGTTTTGTGGGAAAAACATTGTCATCAACATCATTGTCATCATGTGGGATGAGTTTAGCGAGTCTAGTGATTTTTAATTTTGAGACAAAATTAGGTTAGAGGTAAGTAAGCGATAGTAGTCTTGTAGAGATCATAGTCTAACAAATTGGTTTCAGATGGGAAGTATGTTGCACTTTGACCTGGATAAACAAAATCATCTCTTTTTCTTGAAGCTGTTCACTCGATTAGTTGGGCCTCTAGTTATGGGTTATCCTATAAGCGAACGTCGCTCTGAAATCTTTCATGTTGGCCAAAAACAATAACTAGTTAGATCTTTGCGAGCAGAGCTCACCTTTTTGAGGCACTACTCCAGGATTGTGGGTCCTTTTCTTGGCCAGCTAGAACAGCTACTTAGTAGGGAAGGACCACTAGGCTAGGTGTTGGTGCCGGCTTGCACGGGGTTTGGGGTGGTCTGCAGTCTGCCAAATCCGCCTCTATTATATATCGCGCGGTGGTCATGTGATACAACGTATAATGTATGCTGGCGCCATCTGCTCTACTCAATAATGTATCCATAATTTTCAAACATTCTGGATTCTCTTAGCAGCGGAATATTTGAATTCATATTTCAGTCGTTGTAGTCTGTCGCGGAATTGCTATATTCATAGTGAGTCACGAGCTCTTCTGTGTTGTAAGATTTTTGAATTACCTTAACTTAGGAGTACTAAAAATATTTGTAGAGAATTCTCATCGTTGTAGTTTGAAGCGTTGATAGTTGAAGAACCGGGAATTACTGATTTGGTTGTAAATCTCGTCTTACATTTGGCAACTAGTGACGTGCACTCTCTATACTGTAATATGCTATGCTGACCTCGTCTGCTGATTTCTTATCGCTCTCATTCAAAGGGTTTTCGCCAAATACTAAATTTATCGATTGATAAATCCATAAGTGATTGAACTGATGATATTTTATCACCGCCACGTGAACACTATGATAAGCGGAAAGGAAACACAAAAATTAATCAGAATCGTACTTCATTTTTGCTCACTTCAATCATTGCCATTGCTTCGCTATGAGACGCTGGATTCGGTTTACTAGTAAACGTTATGTATTCCTTGTTAGTATGTTCAAGTGAGTGTTCACGAAGTAATTGGTGAGCCATCATCTTGGCGACTGTCCAATCTATGGAACTGCGATGTATAGCGTGGGTTCGTGCACTTACTGAACTTCCAAAGGAATAACGACGTTTTTATGGCTGCTCGGACCTGTAGCGAAATGTACATATACGCTGGGCATTGAATTCATCCTGATGAAAGCTTGTTGGCAATACGGAAAATCCCTCATCTGTTTGATGACAAAGATCAACGATCACCTATGACGTACTGGGAACGCTCTGCGCGAATGCACTAGGAAATGAGAGGAAAATTTTTGCTTTGCCATGATTATTGTGGACCCCGTCCTGAAACGGGCCTTTGAGAACTGCATTATTCAAGTCTCTAAGTCTCTCATGGACGAAGAAACCAGGATCGTTTTTTTTCATTTTTCATCCAACTCATTTTGCAATGGTGTCAAGTATTTGTCCTTCATCGTCGTTCTTCACATCGTTTGTTTCGTCGGATTGCAGGTTTCGAACGTAGTGACCAACCAGTTCCGATGTAGTCGAGCACGTATGGCTTTTGACGTATCTTAAAGTAGAATGAAGTAGAGTTAAAGTAGCCTTTGGGTCTAAGTGACTTTGTGCTATCGTAGGTGTATGAACTTTGACCGTTGCAGTTGCCGATGTTCACGCTGTTTAAGTAAATTCAGCGTCTTACGCGTTTCTTCCGCACTCTGTTACTGTTATGAAAGTCTTTATCGGTACTTAACTTCCCATGCAAAGCGCTGAGTGAAAATTCCCTTAGAAACGATCGTCATTCTTAGTGTCTTTAGTGTAACGCACATTTCAAAAAGTGTTTCATTAAAACGTTTCGTTTTCAAGTCCAAAGCTAGACACTCCTGAGAAAACAAGGAAGGCGCTTTGAAGTCCAGTGAATGACGGCCCAAAAATCATTCGCTCATTTCGCGCTGGATCCTAATCCCACACATCAGAGGCACAGCAGAGGTCTGGTGTCATCTAATATAAAACTGCGCCTCGAGACGGGAATTTCTATTTAGCTATTTGCATAGTCGTTGGTTGAATCGACGAAATGTTTTTCTAAAATGCGTTTTTACATCGACGAATCACAAAGTGAATTTTATTTTGTGGAAAGTGCAAATGTTTCTATTCATCGTGTGTAGAAAAGACGTATAAGTATAACACACACACACACACACACACACACACACACACACACACATAGATACATACGCATATATAATATTTAAGATGTGTATGTACGTATGTGTATATACATAGGTGTATACATGTGTGTATGTGTGTGTACGACGGGGTCACCGTTGATGTGGGAGAACCACACACACACACACACACACATACACCCATAGCACCGTATACTTAATAGTGACCTCTCTTCAATGTGCACATTCAATAATTATTCATATCTTTGCGCTCTCTGCAGCGCGAACACTGTCTGAGCGGGGCTCTCGCTCGCCCCGTCCGCATTGCATCTACTCCGTCTCCACTCTTGGCACAGTGTCTCCACAGGGGGCGGGGCAGTGTGTCTGCTGTGTTTATTCGCGTTTCACATGTAATTGCTGTGGCGCAGCAGCAACCCCCACCCTCAGTGCCAAAGTGGCGCCGTTGCACTCCAACTTGAAGCTGCAGCGCCTCCACCCCCAGGTGGGTGCTACTAGCGTGGCCACGTCGCCATAACGAGTGACTGTTGTGATAGTACTAATAGTGGTGGTAGTAGTAGTAGTTGTAGTAGCAGTCGTTGTAGTGGTGGTTGTCGTAGTAGTAGCAGTAGTATTCGTAGTAGTATAGTTATTGTTGTTGTTGCTGTTGTCGTTGTTGTTGTCGTTGTTGTTGTTGTTGTTGATGTTGTTGTTGTTGATGTTGTTTATGTTGTTTATGTTTATGTTTATGTTGTTGTTGTTGTTGTTGTTGTTGTTGTTGTTGTTGTTGTTGTTGTTGTTGTTGTTGTTGTTGTTGTTGTTGTTGTTGTAGTTCTTGTCATAGTAGCGGTAGTAATCGTTGCTGGAGTCGTAGTAGTTGTGTTGTTGTAGTCGTGGTAGCAGTGGCATTAGTAGTAGCCGTGGTACTGGTAGTAGAAGCAGTGGCACTAATAGTGTTAGTTATTGTTGTTGTTGTTGAAGTCGTAGTACTATTAGTGGTAGTACTTGCAGCACTATAATTATTGTTGCTGTCGTAGTTGTGATAGTAATTGTTGCTACAGTCCTAGTTGTAGTAGTAGAAGTGTCGTTGTAGTAGTGCTAGCAGTAATGTTAGTAATAGCTGTAGTAGTACTGCTAGTCATTGTTGTTGTTGTTGTTGTTGCTGTTGTTGTTGAAATCATAGTACTAGGAGTACTAGTAGTACCAGTATTAGTATTAGTAGTATTAGTAGTAGTAGTGGTAGTTGTAGTACTAGTAGATTCGTTTATCCTGAATAGTTTGTCGAATTCTTTTCGATTCTTCGGAGAAGGCGAAAGTCGCATTTTCTTTTGATGTCTTTCTAAGAGAAGAGTTCAATATCTCTGAGGTTCTTAAGGTTCTTAAAGCGCTTCAATCGAGTGTTGTTGTTGAATACCAAAACGTTTACTTTTTATTTCCTGCTTACAACAATCCGTGGCGCATTATGTAATGTGCGAGCCCCGTAAACGGAAATCGTAGTTCGATCTGGCCTGCGGTCTAAGTTTTGCGAATATCCCAGCATCGTTGTGGTTGTTCTCCAATAATTTTTCGAATTTCGGTCTGATTCCGACCACTATCGATAGCGCTGCAGGATTTTTTTTCGCTTTGCAAATGTCCAGCGGAAAAAGGTTCAATATCTGTGCATTTTAGATTCTCGTGGCAGCACTTCAATCGAGTATTACATGTTTCTGACATGTGTTTTCCTTCTTCTCTTCTGAAAATCATCCCGAAGAATAGCACATGATCTTCCACGATGTTTCCTTTATCGCTTTCTTTCTTGGTGCTACTTACTTACTGCTTTATAATGTTTCTATAAGATGGTTTTTTGAAGTATAAGCTTTAAAAGCATAACGTCTTGTGCTATTTCTTTGTATGTATATGTATATATATATATATTGTACGTATGTATGTGTGTATGAAAACCTGTTTGTGTGTGTGTTGTGTGTATGTATGTATGCATGTATGTATGTGCGTATGAATGTATGTATGTGTGTAGTGGAGGATTTTGTGTGTGTAACATTTTCCAACCAATTTTTTTTTCTTTAATCTGAATCACAGTGAGTCATTGTTTAAAAGAGCTTGGTGTGGGTGTATTTCGAAAGAAATCTGGTTTGATGTTTCAATAATAGACATTGCGAATAGCAATCTACGTAATTAGGACCTGTCCTGAAATTATATTTGATCTGCCGAATCAATAGACTTAAAGTGTTGTCTGTGTTCTCTGTGGCAGGAGTATTAAGGAAGGTTCTTAAGAAAGCGGCAATAGGAAGCAATTTGAAAAGGATCTTTGTGACCGGGCAAACAAAAAATTGAGGCCCTCGGAAACTCGACAAAGTGTAAACAGGAGCTTTTCGGAGACTACAGACTTTTGCAGTTGTTGCAGTAGAATTGTTGACTTATATCTTTTTCAATTTTCTTGTTTTTTTTTTTCCTTTGCAATTTTGCGCTACTCATCCTTCCTTTCTTACTGTTCCTACTTTATTTCATCCTGCTATGGAACACTACTTCTTATTACGGTTGACTATAGCTGAAAAATCCTCTATGCTTGTTGTGAACTTTCGGGACAGTGTAGTTTGAATGTGAAAAGGAAAGTGGAATATGTGACCTGAATATCAAAAGATTCCAAAAGTCTGACTGTCCTGAACGGAATTCCTTATGACGCTTTAGCTTTGTGGATTGATTGTTCAGGGTGATCACGAATGGAGCTAGGAATTGAACAGTTTTATCCAGGATTTCTTTCGTACAGTGCTTGAAACAAGGAAGAATTCTAGCAAGTCGTAGATCATCTGCTTCCAATTTTTTATCCTTCGTGGGACTGATTTTACATAATGCTTCGTTTTAAAACAATTCCAGTACAGTGCACGGGGTTTTAATACGAAGCAGGCATGTTTGATCTTTTTTCTTCCTCCGTAGTCTTCAGAATGTTCTGGAAGATGTGTAAAATACTTTTCACGTCGAAGCCTTTGATTTGGACTCTTAAGACAGAATTCTTGTTACTAGGAATATCGTTCAGGATTCCGAGCCATGTAT